AAAACTGTTTCTGTTCCTTGCACTCTGTTGGTGGGGTGTGTGGACCAGGGGACTTCCACGTGAAAGCAGTTTCTGGGGTGTTCTGGCAATGTGTCTGGTGAGTCTTTTGAAAGGCCTCTGTTCTGCTGTCAAGCCAGCTTTGAAGACACCATCTGGGGAAGTAGCCAAGAAGTCATTGGGTGAACTTCTCTGCTTTGCAAAGCTATTAACCAGTACAGGGAAGAGCGAAAACAAAACTCTCTTCATAGCTTTTTGAATTAATGGTTTTTGTTGCTGCCAGGCATACTCCTGCCCCTTCTTATTCCAAACCCAAGGACAGCAACTGTTGGACTCCTGAAAGATGAGAGAGACATAGAGGCTTTTCTGTGCGATAACTATATGGCATAGAAGTGCTGTGATCCATTAGTCAGCACAGCTGCTCCACAAAATAGCCAATACCCTGAATGTAACAGAACAAATTGCACATAACCAAAAAATACCTACAGCATACATCAAACCAAAGTGACTCAAATGTCCCTCACAGCACTTTGGGGTGCTAATAGCCCCGCAACAAATGCCTTATCCAGTGGAAAGGCCTTGAACACCCATCTTAGGACAGGTCAGAATTTCTGTGTTTCGTTAGTGCCTCTTTCCGGACGGAGATGAAAAAGTTGTGCGGTCACGTCACTGAAGTCTGCTGTGTGCCAGCAGGTGCTCTGGTTCTGAGAGCGCTGCCTGCACATGGCAAGGAACTATGGAGATTAATTTCTACTTTGTCACTGACACTCCAAATGCACCCGAGTCATTTATCATGGGGATCTGCTTCCTGATTTCTCCGTAGTTGCCCAGTGCCCATATGCGCGAGCGCCGTGGTGCCACTGCTTAAAGGAACACCAGAACAAAGGTAGGGCACTCGCTGGAGGAAACTCGCAGGGTTTACCCTGTGAGACTAAAGGCTGGTTAAATAAATATGTCTTAGCACAGCTGAGGCTTGGCAAACAGCGTCTCTGGCAAACACTGAGGGAGGAAGTTCTTCAGGGTCTGGGCTTTCAAGGAGGGAGATTCCCCCCCTGGCTCAGAGCCTGCGGCGAGGCTGAGCGCTGAGGCACAGAACTAGCCAGTGTCTGGGGGAGGAGGGGAGGATGCTGCGGGCTCTCAGACAGCCCCCAGCTCCTGCGCTGGGATGCAGACGGGCAAAGAAGGAACTGGAGGAAGGCAAGAGCGCGGTGCGTTGGAAAATCTTGCTGAGACTTTCTTGTCCTGGTGCTGGTACCAAGCCCTCAGCTCTCTGTTACGGGAGAAGGACCGTGTTGGGGCATTGGTTGGACTCCCTTCTCAGCAGGGGTGAGATGTGTGGAGCAGATCCACTTGCGGACCTTGACTCTTTCTCCTCACCCAACTGGAACCAGAACTGGAGAGCTACTGGCTTCCCCACAGGTGCTGCAAAGTGGTGGCTGTGTCAGCTGAGCCGCCAGCCAATTTTGACTGCTCTGAGCTGCCAAGTGGGGTCTCACGGTGGTAGCAGAGCATGGGTTAGTGGCTCAGGGTCCCACTTGCCAGGAGAGGCGTGGAAAAGAGCGCTGCATGCCCTCCAGCTGGATTTGCTGTGGGGACTGAACAGATTGCCATTCCTATTTGTGCTGCAGCCACAGCTGTGAGGAATTGGCCTTTGTATGGACCCCTTTGTACGGACACGGCATTCATACGCAGAGGTGCTGGGCTGGAGCTCTCGAGACTGGAACCTGGTGTCTACCTGATGTTGCAGTGGCACTAAACGTAATCCACCCTCCCTACGCGAGAAGGGCACCGTCCCTTCTCCTTCGAGTGAGTGTGTGGTGCGCTCTCCAGGGCTGCTTGTTTCCTGAGTTGTTCTTCTGCTAAGACTGGAGCAGAGACCAGCTAACGCCAGCTGTGGGGCAGTTATTTTCTGATGAGGCTGAGCCTCAACTCGCTTCGTTGGGAGTATCCTGTTGTGTGGGAACAGCTTGTGATTGTGAGCTGCCCGCTCTTGTGGCGTATGCAACTTGCCTGGTGCACATGCAGCAACAAGGGCATGTAGGAGACATAAGTCCTCTCCTTCTCTTTCCTGGCTCCTTCTGCTCAAGGTAAGTGTTGTAGCAACTTGGTAGCGTCTCACAGGGAGGATTCCAGGTTGGAAGGAAATGAAGGGGGTGCCAAAGCTGTGTCGGCACGATGGCAATGCTAGGTGGGGTGAAAATGCTGGTGTAAATGGTTGGCTTAGCAAAGAGTGGGTTCAGTCTTAGAGATATGGCGTCCTTCCATGCTATTACACAGCATGCGAGGCATGAAATCGATGCAACTGTGCTTTTAAGTAGTTAGCCACAGGTTTATAAACTGATGGCCTAGGAACAGTGAAAGCAATTATATGTGTATTCTAACAAGCATAGACTTATATGATGTGCTAACAGAGCACAGGGCCTACAGAGCTTCCCCTGTGCAGCGTGGAGAGGCTGTGACACTCTGCAGTAGCTGGCAGAGGAGACCTCTGTCCTCCAGCATCGTTAGCTGTTAATTGTGCCTGCACCGCTCGGCATGTTCTGCAGAAGATCCAGAGGAGCATGAGTTCATGGCCAGCCAGAGACTGTACTCTGGTTTCACTTTCTGTCTAAATTGGATTTTAGCAATACTAGGATGGTGGTGGTCTACAGTGGCGTGGCAAATGCTGTGAGACCTGGATTGGCGTCTGAGCAGCAAAGTCTGAAACAGCTGGGAAAGCCACTCCTGTGTGCAGGCCATTGTCTGCTGGGAGAGCTTCAGTTCTCCCAAAATGCCAACCCTATAAGCTTCCTGAGCACTCCATGCCCCTGAAGAGGTAAGGGACGTTAATTAGTCGCATCATCAGCACAGGCTGGTCTTAGATGTCATTTTATCAGGCCACTATTGGGAGCAGCTTGGGCTGATGGACGGTGTCATTACCTCCTCCCTTTGTTCCCAGCAGCTTTCCTCGGTGCCAGCTGTGCAGCAGGAGATCGGTGCCTGGGCTGCCTGGAGCCCACCAGTTCTGGGTCCAGTGCTCACTGCGCGAAAGATCTTGAGATCAAGTTTAGTCATCCAGAGTGAGATGGAACCTGATGTCTTTGTACAAGGAGCGTTTGTGAGCCTCCAGCTCGATGCGTTCCCGGTATGTGGGCAGCTGAGGCTGGAAAGCATTGATTGAGGTTAAGTGCTGGCTGTTTGCATTTTCTCCTGAAATGAGTAAAAATACGTAGTTACGATTTTGAACATAAAATTGTGTAACTATGATTACTTTTTTTTTAAAATCACTTTATAGGAAAAGGTTTTGCTGCCTTATATAAGGGTTAACCACAGAGTGGCCACATCAGTGGCTTTTTCACAAAATGTAGCATTCCGCGACACTTCACTGAAGTGTTACAGTGTGAATACAGCAAATTACTTTATTGCAAAATTGATTGCGAGTTGTTGCTGCTTCTCTCATTACAATTTGTGTGAGTGCTATTGGAGTTTTTGAAATGTATTGCTCTGTGCAAAACTTTAAGTCACTAATGATGAGAAAAATTACCTGGGAAATTAGAGTCAGTCGAGTAATATTGATGGTTCATTTGTCAGATTTCTGGATAAGCTTTGTCTAAATAATTTGGCAAACAATTTTCTCTTTATTCTTGAGTCCTTTGAAACTTTTCCAGTTCATTGTTGTCAGAGATGGGGCTGTCTTTGGAGATGCATGGTCAATGTGGACTGAATATGCTGACCTTGCAGGTGTTAGGCAGCGAATAGGCCTGCTATGCAGAAGTAGCCCAAATGACATCCTCACCTTCTGACAGATATTGCCAAGTGTGCTAGCATCATTATTTTGTGATGTTCTCCTTTCTGATTCACATTGAAGGAAGCACGGCTTCTCTTGTAAGAAAGGCTAGTGTCTAAGGAGTAGATCCAAGCTCAAATCCAGCCCTAGCAAGAATGGGTGGTGAGACCACATGCAGCTAACTATTCACTTAGTTTTCTGTAGTTTGCTTTAACAGGGACCTTTAAACATGGGGACGTACTGTCTATTCTGCAAAATGGAACTGCAGAGCATGAGAAGAAAGTAGCGTGTTGATGGGATCACCCCGTGCAGCTCTGCTGTTGGTATAGCTACACCAGCAGTTCCTTGACATAAAGATGCCATTGCCGATGAGCAAGAGCTGGTTACCTGGGTTTTGAAGTAGGGTCCAACATTGATATCTCAGGTCTTCAGAGGGAGAGGTGTTATAACCGGTGCCAGGTGGTGGTGTTGCTGGTTTGATTTGACTTTGTAGGAGTGATAAAATAAAAATAGGAAGAAACCGTAACAGGCTCCTCAGTCTCCATCCTAAAAAGGTCGAAGGCCTCCTCTGTTTTTTCTACCCCTCAGAAGTCCACAGCTCGTGTGCAGATACCTGCAGGATCTGTCGATGTATCACTTAGAAAACAGGAGGTTGTTGTGGGGACAAAGCAGGGATGATTTTGCCTTGAATTTTAGGAGGGTTTGGGTCTTAATAGGATAAAGGCAGTCAAAGATGTCAGGAGTTAGGGTGGCCTCCGAGTCTCTCTCTTTCCTCCTCTCCCCTCTGTATGCTCACTCTTATGTTGATCGTGTTCCAGGAGGAGCCAGTGTTGTCTGCATGTTTGATGGCAGCTAATCAAAGTGCTCCTGTGTCCTGCTGAGGCTGGGACATAGTGTGGACCTACTCCTGCAACCCAGCTGCTCTAAGCCTTACCTGAGACCGTGGCCTTTCTCTCCTGCTGCAGGCCATAGCATTTATAAACCAATCATTTACAACTGACCATCTATTCTTGTTTGCAGAATCAGCCTCGCCTTTGATACCATGACCCAGTGTCTTGCTTCTACAGTCCTCTGTCCCCTTGAGTGTCGTGTGTTTTACAGCAGACGGAACCTGATGATTTTTCTGTGGGATTTTCACCCTGCCAACGTTTCTCCTTCATTTCTGAAGGAAACGGTCCCATGTCAACAGCTGAATAACTAACTTGCTGCCTTTTCCTTTGTCTCCTTTTTCCTCCAGGAGCTGTTAGTTAATTCTGGATAAACATCAGCCACCAAATAGCAGAGGACAGGGACCACATACGCCCTCGGAAGCCCCAGCATCCTTCTGGATAGACACTGACCAAAACTGGTGCCTTCTGCCCTTCGCGGTCCAAGACAGCGACATGATTCCTCTTCTAATTGCCTGCATGTATCAGTCTCAGTGGATGTTCCTGGAGTTGGGAGGAGGGTCCTGGGAGAGGGGGATGCTACCGTTTCCTTTTTTATTGTATTGCAATGTAAAGAATCGTATCGACCCCAGGTGCTTCCAGCACAGCTTGTAGCTTGGAGGCATGCCCAACACGAGCCTGGTTCACCCTGTGCTAGCTTTGGTTTCACCAATATCCACATCTGAGTTTCAAGAGCTGTTATCGTTGTCTATTTGCTCTGGGGAAAGGGGTCTGAAATATTTGGAAGTAACCCTAACCAGCTTGTTAGGATTAACTGTTCCTAGCGTGCTCCCATCGGTTACACCAGCAGGCGTGTTCCTTCCCTTCCAAGGTTCCCTCCTAAACAATAAAATGTTTAATGGTCACTGTGTGCTGTGAGATACTTTCAGTCCCATGAGTTTGTACATTGCTGTTTTCTGCCTCCTGCCCATGCCAACAAAAACTCCAAACAAGTGTGAGGAATAGAAATGTATAAAATCACAGATTATAAATCACAAAACTTGTTCATTTTGGTCCTGGGCTGAATGACTTTGGCTTGTTTGAAAATATTTGGAAGAGTGCAAAGTCCTGGCTGAAGGTGTTGGTGAATCATACTGAAAAAACCCTTTTGCCTGCTGAACGCAGAGCCCGAGTTATCTTTCTTTGCACCAGCTCTTGTGCAGGTCTTGCTTTGGCTGCCGTAAACACCATCCCTTTCAGCCTTGCACTCTGTTTTGAGCCCTCTCCGTGGGGAGCTGCGGGACAGTGGGAGCTGTGTGCCTCTGGCAGCTCGTCCTCCTAGAGGTAGGTGGGTCAGATTTGCAAAAGACCTGTCAGCAAACCAGGGGAACAAGTCTCTCTTGGAAACTTGAATCTCCTTCTCTGGCTAAAGCTTCTCCTCTGGCAGCATTTGCTGCTCGTGTCCTCTCTGACTGTATCTGACAGTTTCTGAAGAATGTGAACATGGATTTTTGGAGGTCATGTCAGAGTTTAATGTAGTGTTTATGAAAATGGATGAAGGGGGCTGAGAATTGTTTTCTGTGGCATATTCTGCTTCGTCTCTTTTTCCTTTAGGCAGCAACTTAGTGCTTTACATCTTCATTAAAGCAACAAAATGCCTTTCCTTCTTGTGGAGAGCTGATGCCACAACCCTCTGCCTCCTTGGAAGCGGTATTTGCTTACCCATGGCTCATCTCTGTTTAGTCTCAGATCTTGCAAAAATTCCGGCTTTTTATCACTGTGCAGGTCAAACTTGCTGTCCCCAAGGACAAGTTTTCCAAACCAAAGTAGGACACTTGGTGCCCTCAGATCTGTTTGAGGCATTACTGGGTGGGTTTTTGCTACTGCTGCTGCTGCCTTACCAGCTTTTGGATCTGCTTGGGATAGCCAGGTTCTACAGAGCTGCAAAACTTGTGACTCTGCATGTGGAAATTTGGAGCACCAGGGTCTGTCCCTGACCGGATTTTAAATTATTGTTGGTCTGAAGAGAAAAGTACCTGTTTTGTCTCTTCCTCATTTTCCTCTTGCCCCCGTCCAATATTGCCTTGGCATGAGTAATTTGCATGTCATTATTTCAGCTGCCCTAAATTGGGGGGGACTGTGATGCCAGGGCTGATTATTTGGCAGCACTGGACAATTTTCTCTGTTAGGCAACTGTAATACATTTCCATGTTCTTTTATAATGAGCTTTATTTACCAAATTGGCAATTCCTCTGTTGAGAAATAACTGATTACAGCATTCAGGGAGTTGCTGTCATCTCAAGATATGCAGGTGTCTGTGGAACATAAACAGATGTGATCGTTCAGACAGTGAACTCAATTGATAGAGGGTAGGGGGAAAAAATCAGCCATAAAATCATAAATGTAACTTCTCCAGCTAATGTTGGCCAGGTGCACTGCGGCTGTTTTGCAGCCCAGCAAGGACAAAGTGGCACTCTAAGGCCATCCAGTGCCTCCAGATGAGGGGCTGCTTGATTATGAGCTGAAAATATACCTCTTGTGTGTCGAGCCAGTGCTTTGGTACTGCCTCACCTGACTCTGGGTCTCTGGTGGTCTCTGAGGACAGACATTAGTTCATTGTGTAGCCTTGGAGTGGGAAACTCCTCGGTCCTGCCACGTTGGGTTTGATTTTAGCTTACTCTGTGATGAATGTCTATGAACTTCTTGGTGATGGTGCGCGAGGGGATTGTGGTCCCATCTGACTTTCGGGCAGTCTCTTTCCTTTAGTGTTTCCTAATGCCCAGGAGCAGTGTGTTACTGCTGTTGCCCTAATCATTGGCTCAAGTATCTGAGACTGGAGCAAAAAAAGATGAGCAGAGATGTCGATAGGAAGTTGCTGAAGATGAAGTTCAGTTTGCAGAGCCTCAGCTGCCATCCAGGTGAAAACATCCACATAACAGAGCTTCTCGAGTGAGTGTTTTCTCCCTTTTTTTTTTTCCTTTTTTTTTTTTTTTTCTCCCCCTCCAGTACACATTGTTTTCAGTCGGCAAAGTTTCACAGAAAAAAAATCAAAGTGC